GTCGCGTCCCCAGCGGCTCCATCCCCGTCACCCCTGTCCCCTGTCCCCGCTACCTGTTGCCACCGAGCGGATGAGCACGGCGTTGAGCTTCAGGACGGGGCTGAAGCTCTGCTTGTTGTCCGAGGAGCCCAGGGCCGTCTTGCTGTGGCACTTGAGCACCAGCTTCTCGTCCTGCTTCTGCAGCAGCACCAGGAGGTCCTCGAGGAGCAGCACGTGCAGATCTGGGGGGGGCACGGGAGACGCGGCTCAGCCCCGCGCGGTGCCCTCGGGGACCCTGGGGACCGTGCCCGCCGAGGACGCGGGAAGGGCCGTACCCACGGTCTTGTCCTTGCTGACGCGCCACGTGAGGGGCCCTTCGTGGATCATGCGGCGGGACGTGAGGTCGAGGCTCTGCCGGGGCCGGGGGGTTGGCGGTGAGCGCAGGGCGGCCCCCGGGTGCCACCCGAGTGCCACCCACGAGCGGGCGCTACCTTGAATTCGGCGGCCAGGGGGTTGTTGGTCCTCTCCAGCGAGGTGGCATCCAGGCGCTTCTGGTAGCCCTCGAGCCGGTGCCGGTTCTCCGCGCGCTTCACGGCCTCGTTCACGTACTTGAGGATGTCCCGGCACTGGTCCCGGGCCCGGCACAGCTTGTCGTGCTCCGAGGTGCCCGCTGGGACGGGGCCGGAGCAGAGCGTGGGTTCCCGTCCCGCTGCACCAGGCTCCCAGCCGCATCCCCGGCAAAAGCCTCCCAAAGCTCCCAAGGGAGCAGAGGGGGGTTTTCCCCCCCAGCACCCGCCCAGCCTGGCTCTTCCCGCTGGAAACGCAGCGCATCCTCCCCACAGCCCTGAGATTTTGCCCTTGCAGCTCCTGCATGAGGAATTGCTTCCTGGGAGAGGATGCCCTCGGATGGGAGCGCGCAGTCGAACGGGGCGAGCGCGGCGCGGGCTCCGTGCGGTGCCCTACCCTCGGTGTGCTTGAGGATGTTCTCCAGCAGCAGCGGGTACTTGGTCAAGCGCTGCATTTCCGAGATGATCAGGTCCTTGAGCTGCAGGCGCCTGCACTGCGGGTTGCTTTCCGCTTCCTGGAGCGGGATAAAGGGGCCAGAACCCCGCGGTGGGATCAGGGAATGCCAGGAGAGCTCCGAAGCAGGCAAAACGCTGCACAAGGGAGGGCCGAACCTGCATGAAGAGCTGGAAGCGGCTCTCCTTGCGCTGCTTGGTCTTGATGAGCTCCAGGGCGATGGATTGGTAGGAGCAGAAGTCAGCAGCAACCTGCTGGATCTCCTCTTTGGCCGCGCCGTCGAACTAGGGGCAACAGGGAGCAGGCTCGAGCAGCCACCCCAAACATGAGACACAAGGTGCCTCCCTGGGGCTCTGTCACCACCGTCCCTCCGGGCAGCCGCCTCTCCTCACCCGAGACAACATGAGATCCCCGATTTCTTTGATGATTGGTCCTTCTTCCCTCAGCTTCTTCATGGATTCGGAAAGGGAATCTGGACAGGGACGAGAGGATGTGAGCGGGACAGAGAGGACCCAGCGTTTGTCCCCACGCTGCACGGGCCAAGAGCCACGTGCCCAGGTGCCTGCTTGAAGAACAAGGTCTTCTTGGCTCCCCAACTCGGGAGTGAGCTTTAATTAGAGCTGTTAATTACAGATGCAACGTGGCAAAGAGTGTGCCTGTCCCCAGTGCAAAGGTCTGGGACGGCCTGGGCAGCCCATACAGGGGCACTGGCAGATCCCAGAAAAGCCAGAGAGCTCCTGGGAGAGGAAAATGGGAAGGCAGAGCAACAAGACAGCAGGATGCTGTGGGCAGGGAGGGTTCGAGTGGCTGGTCCCCATGCAGGGGTGGCCAGAAGGGGCTGTGTCGACCACTCTGTGGCCTTGCTACAGAGGGAGGATTGCCAAGGAAGGAGAGAAGGAAGAGGCTTACTGTGGATTTCTATCACATCAGGAAGGTTGGGGAAGAGGAGCGCCAGCTCTTCCCGGGACAGCAGGCTCTCCTTCTTCATGCGCTGGTAAAAGAGGAGGTCCAGGACTCGGAGGATGCGGAGATGAGAGCCTTCCGTGGCAAAAAGCTCTGGGCAAAAGGCAGGCAGGGGTAGGCGAGCGTCCCGGGAAGCCGTGTCCGAGGAAGCCGGCGCCGGGCGCCGCTCTCCGCGCTCCTCTCACCGTTTATCACCTCCTGGCGGTCGATCTCCTTCTGCGGCAGGTTGGCCACCAGCTCCCGGCTCACCGTGTGCTGCCAGTTCTGCGCGTCCAGCTCCGGCTCCAGGTCGGAGAGGGGGCCCTGCTCGTCCTCCAGGAGGTGGGGGAGGAAGGGGTCGAGGCCGAAGCCCAGGCTGGGCGACTCGATGCTCCTGGGAGGATGAAAGGCGGAGGTGGGAGTACTCTGCAGTGACGCGGATCCAGCGAGCCCACCCCACGGTGCTCCCAGTGCAGCCAATATCTACCTGGGCCCTACTTGGGCTTGAACCTTCAGCACAAGGAGCACAAGCCTCTGACTCTCGAGCTAAAAGACTAGGTCCCCCAGCAGACATCTATATAGGTCCATTAAGCTCCTGTGTGAGACACAAGGGAACAGAGATGCCCCCTAGCCCTAGGAGGATGGAGAGCTAACATTAAACAGCAGAACTGCTCCAAGCCGGAGGAATTCCCTCCCTGAGGCAGCTCCGGCAGCCCTGGCAATCGCCTCCCCTTGTGCCGTGTCCAAGCCCAGTTATGGGAAGGGAAAAGCTAGGAAGATACGAGCGGGGGGAAGCCCTGCGGCCCCCGCGGCAAGAGCACGGCCCGCGCCAGGGGCCCTTCTGCTCTGGAGGCGACAGCAAAGCCCCGGGGTCCCGGCCAGCGGCGCGGCGCTGTACGGATGGCGGCGACACGGCCTGCCCACTCACCTGCGTCCCATCTTGGGAGTGTACGGAGGAGTGGGATTCTCCAGCGACCTGCGGAGGGAACCCAGAGTCACGGCGGCGTCCCCAGCACAGGCTGCCCCGCGCCTCCCTCGCGCGGAACAACGTGTCCGGCAAAACCTTCGGAATTCCCAAGAATTCAGCCCAAGGCGTTTGGCTTTCAGCCCCGGCAGCAGCCCAAGGGTCCCAGCGCCCTCCCGAAGGCCCTTTCCAGCCAGGTTGTCCCAGCTGCTCTCACCTCGTGGACAGGCTGGAAGCAGAGGATGACGCCGACTGATGCAGCCTCGTGGCCTCGGCCGCCCCACCCCTGTCCACGTC